GTGTTTTGTTTTACCCGCAGTTAAATAATTCCTAAATAATTTTTTTTTGTAGAAATGTTAATGTTTTTAAATTCATGATGCGAGCTTAAATAATATTAAATACATATTTATTTAGACTTTATTAAAACTGATTTTTGGTACAATTGCAACTTACGAGTATGTGAATATACGTAAGAGTAAGTAAATCTGTGCGTACAGTGTACATTTATTTATTTATTTATTTAATTAAATAACTTAACTACAGTAGCATCGAATTTATATATTGTATATGTATATGTATGTATATATATTTTAGGAGAAAAGGAAAGAGAAGCGAGTGAGATAAACAAATTCGAGTGGATAAGGTAGATAAAGTGTTGGTCGAAACGTAAATCCGACGCAAGGAAATTCTTGATAGGCGCTCTTACACAATGCTGTATTATTTGACCAGTATTTAATACCGTTACATTTACTACTACATACATTAAATGTATAGCTTTTGCAAAGAATATGAACAAAGTGGCATGTTTACATAAAAGAATACAACGCCTGCTGTATTTCCATCAGCGGGTAAGTATTTAAATGAAATGCAAAAGTAAATTCATATACAAGAGAGCAGTTGAAATTTAACAAAATTAATGAATTCTTAAAATAAAATAATAAATAGCTCTTAAGAAAATAAAAGCAATCAAAGCAAATTCGAGTTTGTCAACAAGAATTTTTTCTAGTAACTGTTAAGATTGCAAAGCAAGGATGTTATAAGAAGGAAAGCGAAACTAAAACTGTTTGTGGATTGGCGGCAGAAATTCTTGCGTTTTCAAAGTGGCATTACATTGTATTTGTCAGATTTGACCGGCAAATAAAATTATTTTTTAGTAGCTACTAATACATACATATGACTGGGCATTTTTGTGATGTTGCGTTGTTTTCTTACTTTTTAAATAAAACAGGAAAAAAAGAATGTAAATGTCGTCGCGAAAATGCAAGTTTAATTCTAAAATAAAAACAATATTTAATAATTTCTTTTTCTTTTCGCTAAGACAAAGTAAAATCAAATAAATTCAATTATTTGGAGCTTTTGGCTCGTACACAATTACATTAATACATTTACATTTATAATAATACACACAATCATACTCAATATATAATAATAAAAATAAAAAATTTTTAATAATAGTATAAACAATTACACACACACAAATTGTGTTAAATGCCATTTTACTAAATACATAAACATTATTCATTTATTACATATTTATTTTAATGGTTAAATATATTTTTTGTTTTAGTATAAATCTTTCATTTACATTTCGGTTTCGCTTGTTCTTTCTTCGTATTTATGTATGTAAGTATGCACGATTTCGCATTGTATTGTGCGGGTATGTTTATGTATATCGAGCCCTAACCGCCAAAAAGACTTAAGCGACATTTTTCAAAATAATATATATTTGATTGGCTCGATATGAAATAAAAGAAGCATGAGAAAAAGAAATAACAAAAAGTAAAATAAAAGATAACAAAAATTAGGAAAATTAACAAACAAAAAAGAGTAAAAAAAAATCAAAAAAAAAATATATAAATATGCTTTCGAGGAAGAAGTCGTTTAAAAGCCTGTGCTAGAGCGCTTGTTAATCGACTAATCGGTTAATCGACCGTCCGGTTGCTTTCGACTTTTTCAACTAAACTTCCATAAACAACTAATCGACTAATCGCTCATTTTCGATTTTTTGACAAGCTGTTTTTCCTATTTTGAGATATGGCGAACTTTGTTTTTTGGTAACTGAAAAAAAATGCACGCACTTTCTTTCCATAAACATTAAATTCTTTTTATATGTGTTTAAATAATTATGCTTAGCGACAAAACTTGTATTGAAATGAATAAAATTTTTGTTAAAAACTGCCACTGCTTGAATAATTTCTGCTGGTGGATTTTCAAACTACTCGACGGTGAGCGGTTAGTCGAAGTTGCTAATCGCCTTATCGACGATCTATTTTCAAAAATAAAAAAGCTTTTGGTGTGCGACCTTATATAAGAAATCATGAAAAAACGGAATATTCTGTAATAATAATTTCAATTTGTTTCAAATGTTTTACACTGAGTCGAGCGGTTTCAAATTGTGACAATTTGACAGTTAGAAACAGCTGATTGCTTTTGATTTAGAAGAAAAGCGCCGAGCAAATGTGCTTTAAGAATACACAGAAATCAAAAAAAAAAAATTTAACTTTAATTCACAGCAGTTTAAAATACTAACAGTTCCAATTACATCGCTTCGTCGTAATTCGAAATGTTCTCAGGCTCCTTAAAGCTGAAGCTCCAGGTTTTGCAGACGTTGCGGCTTTCGAAGTCGTTAAGACTTTACAGGCAGGCATACATATACACATTTCTAAACATTTTCATTATAAATACTATCCATGGTTGATTTTATTTTTTTGAGATTTTTATATCCAGATTATTTTATAAAATGCAAAACGATTTACTGGCAAATTTTAGAAATTTTGTTGAAAAGTATCCAACATTGTAGTAGGGGAAGAGTTTTCCGACAAATGTGTTATCGACTAAAAAATGCAAGTTCGATTAAAGTAATACTTCTTTTAGCATTCAAAGGAGTGTCAAAAAATGTACTCAACAGTCTCGGAACAACTCGTATTCACACTTGCATACGTACATATGTATGTAAATATATGAAAAAAATGCACAAAAGTAGTATGTAAAGAAGTCGTAGATATATGAAAAACTGAAACTCGATTCTGCGCAACGAAATTATGTTGGGCTCACCCGACTAGGGAGTTTTGTTGCAAATATAATTCTAGAAAAAAAATAACAGCATTTTATAGTTCATTTACACCAAGTCCTCACTGCGGTTTATGCCTATTGGAAAAATCAGATTACAACTCGAAGGAGCTAATTGCTCATATTAAGTACAAGCAAGCGAAAGGAAAAAAACAAAAAATTAAGAAAAATCACCGCTTGTTAAATTCCTTGCAACTTATTTGGGCACCTAACCACAGTTAAGCGTTTCGTGGAAATGGGCTATTAGCTTTAAGAAGTTACAACTTTGTTTTTATTATATCAGTCATACTCTTTGCGAGCCACCCGTTCCTTGACGAAAATTTTAAATTCACAAAAACAGCCAGTTCGGTAAATGACGTGGCTATTGTTTAAATAGATGAATGTTGTCAAAACAAGTTTGTGAAAGAATGTAAGGGTGCGCTAAACCGTCAAGCTGAAGAGCGTACTTTCCGGGAGTTTGAGTTGAACTTTCAATAATTAAAATTTCATTTTAAATAACCGAAAATTAGTAAGTTTTACAGTGGCCAAAAATGTGAATAGAAAATTGATGCCCAGGTTTCACCAATCAATTTTATAGTTTATCAGACTGCTGAAATTTAAAATGGCGAAATTTCCTAATAAAATTACGTTATTTTAAACTTTAACAATCTTATCCCCAATTTCACCAATCAATTTTAAAATTTATCAGACTGTTAAAATTGATTGGTGTAACCGAGCATAAGAGGGCCAAACGGAAGTAAAAGACATACAATTTTTTTTAAATTTTCTTAAAAAGGTTTACTAAATTAAACACTTTCAATTTGCCCTGTTCACAACTCAGATGACAAGATGTAAATTTGGTCAATGAAAAAAAAAAATTTCATTTAGAAATCTATAACCACAGTTTAAGTCGCTCTTTTAATGGCATTGAACTACTAATTAATTACAAAGAATAAACGTTAATCCTTAAAACTCTAAAAAAGTAAAAAAAATAATGTTATTACAAAAAATATCTGCACTTTTGCTATGAAATCAAAAACAAAAATATTGCGCGCAGCCTATCGTTAAATATAAATAGCTAAATAAAAAGATATACACAAATTAGGTTTCCAAAAAAAAAAATAAATATTAACAATAGTATTTATAAGCAGTTAGTTTGTGCCACTTACGTACATGCAAATCGATGGTATTCTGCAAAAACGATACAACTCAAAACTTAAAAAAAATACACACTTACTAGTGTTAAGTGGCTCATGATGTTTCTAATCCCTGTCTAATCCTTACTAGGTAGTAAGTATTACTAAAGTAAGTAGTAAGGAATAGACAATGATGGATTAGGCAAGGATTAGAGACAGTAGCGAGATTTTTGCTTTATTGAGTTTGGAGTTGTGTCGTTATTGCAGAGCACCATCGAAATGTACGACTGCACACAATAGTATGGGTTTTTGTGCTGTGCTTTTTAGCATTACTATTATTTAAAGTTATGAATTGTGTATTTGTGTGTACGTTTCGTTCTTGTTTGTGCTAAGTTTTCAACATGTATGTATGTATGTATTAATGTATGAATGTACTCGTAGTAGTGTGCGTGTTCGCCAACAGCATTCTCACTTGCAAAGGAAATCAATTTGTTATTAAATATGTATGTATGTATAAATGTTTCTATGTACTTTGATGTCGATTTTGTTTTGCAACGTATGACCGGTCACTGTTTTCATTTTCATTTTCATTTTATTTGTGTTTTTGTATCATTTAAATAGCAGCCTACTATAGTTTTCATAGTAGTACATACATACACACTACTATGTACTACTATGTAATAGAAAGAAGTACCAGTAGTGCATTTGCTCTAAATCGAATTTTTGATTTACAATTATATGTACTTCTCACTGTATTTTTGTTTGTTTACTTCATTAGTTTGTGGCTAATGTAGTTATAGTACATACATATACTAAAGCATTCGGCTTTTTTACAGTGATTTGGAAAAAAATAATTTTACATTACAACGACCTGTTTTTTAATCTATATTTGTATCAACGTATCTATATGAACTTAAATTTGCCTGTTTTTATTAAGTTTTTTTTGTGTTAAATTTTTACTGGATATTATTATAAAGTTTGTTTGTTATTTTTGTTTGCTTTTCCTTCTTCTTCTTCTTCTTCTTCTTCTTCTTAATAAGCTTAATTATTAATAAAGTTTGTTTTGTATGTGTATGTGTATGTTTATGCATGTGTTTCTTTTTGTGTGTTGTGTGTGTGTGCGTTTTGTTTTTGTTTTATTTAATTTTTTCTTGACTAAAATGTACATTTCGCTCTTCCGCTCATAGCTACTGCGGCTGTTGTTGCTGCTTTAGCTTTCGGCTTCAATTTAACGGCATTAACGCTTTAACAAACCATTCAACCAGCTATCCATCACTCACCATCATCGTCGTCATTGCATTATAATCACATAAATTTGTTGCAGTTTAATATAATTTCATTGAATATTTAGTAAAATCTTGTAAACAAAATGGCAAACATTTTAACTAAACACAGAAGTTCATACTTATGTAGGTGTTGTTTGTCACCAAAACATCCGAAATGTAAAGCCATTTTCGAATGCTTACAAACGCGTCTTGCTTTGCTGATATTTTTTTGAAACAAATTATTAAAAATTAAAAATTCTTAAATCTCCGCTCTGCAGTTAGTTTTTGGATGAGTTGTCATTTTAAATAATTAATAGTAGCTTTGCAGTATTGGTATTTGCAGCGTTAATAGTGGCCGAAGTAGTAGTAGTTGTTGTTGGAGCGGTGGTGATGGCGTCCCGACAATGATCTTTGCAATGCAATGCGGTACTTGTTTAGTTTGCTTGCACTGGATTTGCTGGGTTCGGGTTTTGGTTTAGTACAGACCGCAGCCTCTCAAATTGTTGGCAATAATCACATCCGTTACCGCATCGAAAACGAACTGTATATTGTTCGTATCTGTGGCACACGTCATGTGGCAGTAGATTTCTTTCGAGGTTGATTTGTTTTTCGCTTCGAATTGGGCCTGAATATACGCAGCAGCTTCACTGTACTCTTGACCGCCTGCAAAAGGAATTGAAGGGGAATTAAATTTATGTGTGAGTGTTAAATATTGGTATACATTCTTGTAGGAACTAAATTTATAGATGGGTACATTGTTATCACCTAAGTATTTAGAAACATATGACCACACATTGATGGTCTTCTGCAAATTGACACAACTCAAATTTTCATATTTTTGGGTTATATAGCGGATTAGGCTGTTTTACAACTAAATTTTTCTGTGAAAAATCGCAATTGTGTCATTTGTTAGACGATCGAAATAGGCAAACCTTACTACTGAACAGTAGCACATGGCCACATGAATATTGGTATAAGTTAAAAACTGTCTATCGGTTTATCGGCCATTAAATGTAAACTGTTGTAATTTTTAATTGATAAACTCGAGGCACGGAAAGTATATAAAACACAGGTTTTAGTCATCTTCGTTGTTGGCTGACATAAATCACAGGTTTTAGTTTGTCGAAATATCGATGTTTAAGCGACTTATGCATTTCCCGCATAAACAAAGAACAGCGAACACACACACGCACTTGTATATTGCACTCCGCCCAAAATCAAGTGCAGCGAATAAACACACACACTTGTTCTTAAAAATAATTCGTTCGTTCTTCATTGGGTATGCATTTTTTAATGCACTTCTCAACTGCCGCAAAACCTACTAAAGTAGTTAATTGCTGGCACTCCAAATCATGCTCAACAATCCCGCTTGATGCATCACCACTCCTCCGGAGTGGTTTTAAACAGCAAAAGCCAAAGCGCTACAAGCTGTTGGGGCTCTGTATGACTTTCAGCATACAGAGGTGGTAACTGATGGTTATCATTGGTCCCGACGCCTACCCAAAACATTTCTGCTTTAATACATTTTTATGCAAATACATTCATCCTGGTCCTGCCCTCTCACTGAGTTATTCAATCGACATTAAAAATAAACAAACTAAAACCTGTGTTTTATGTAATTTCTGGGCCCCGAGGTTATTATTATTACGTTATTATATTAGGTTATTTAAGAAGTTAAGCACTTTGGAGAGACCATGTTGCAAATTTTGGATGGAGAAGATAATCGTTCCTCAAGATTTATTAATCTGCTATTCATTATACATGGGCAGTCATATAGAATATGCTGCTAGATTTTCTCCATTAGCCCACAAAACCTGTAGTCCGCCTCTACCGAAAGCCCCATTTTATTCAAATGGTACTTTAACTTTCAGTATCCTGTCAGGTAGCCTGTAAGAGTTTTAAGACCCTCCCGGCTAAGTGCACGGAGTTTCCTCTGGAAGGAGTTTTGAATCTCATTGATTGTCTCATTCCCTTTGACTTCCACCATGGGTAGCAACTTGAGACTCCTCCCAGCTCCTAAGTATTTAGTTCTGCAGTATATCGATTAGATATATCGCAGAAAGGCTCGAAACCACGCAATCGCATTTGGGCTCCACGCTTTGCGAGACAATCAATCATCCCTTTCGTTGCCTTCAAACGCTTGATATCCCGAAACCTACCACAGCGTTCTGCTATTGTGAGCTCGTAGGTATTTCAAAAGAGTTTTACAGCCGTCCATAAGCTGTTGATGCCATTTTAAAATAGTTTAAGGCCTTTAACGCGCCCTGAGTATCCGAAATAATATTTATTCTGGCCCCGTTTGTCCGTACCCGAAGACATTCTCGAACACAGACTTCGATTGCGAAGACTTCCGTCTGGAATATGGTTGGGTATGAGTCCATTGGTAGACTTTTCTTGAATTTTGGTCCAAGTAGGTGTGCCCCAGTACTTCCGTCGTCCATCTTAGATCCGTCGGTATACCCTTCTTGGGACCCTTCGTCAATTATAGTCACTATCGCTTCACAATAGTCCCTTTCAGAAGTGCTGACGGTTTTAGAATTATAACTTCGGCAGCATGATGTCCGTGAGCTAGATAGCAGAATCATACAGAAGTAGCTTGGGAGCCTCCAAAGTGACACCGAAGGGCACTGCAGCCGGCCTATTTTTCAATCAGAATAGACACGGGGAATGCAGGGCATCCCTTGGACAGGTGACGGCCACGCAGACCATTCAGTGCAGCTGACTCAAGGTTGCATCCGCTTTTACTAGTTCAGCTTTTGATCAACAGGCCAGTGACGCATAAGTAACAGTTTGGTTGATATTCCCCAAGTTTTACCAAGAAGTCTCCGATAGGCATAGAATGCCCTTGTAGCATTGGTAGTAATATTCAAGAGATGAGAGTTTCAATTGAGCCTTTTGCCCAGAGTGACCCCTAGATACTTCGTCTCTTCTGAGAACTCAATATCTGTTCCTTCACAGGTGGGGATAGTCAAGTTGACTTTCCACCTTTTGGTAAATCGAACAACGGTGGACTTCAGTGGGTTTATTGAGAATCCCTTTTCAGAACACCAGTCTTCAGTTAATTTTAGCGCAGCTTTCAATCTGGAACAAATAGTGTCCTCATGCCAGCCAACAACGTAGATGACTAGGTCATCTGCATAACCATATGCTTTAAACCTATTGCCTTTTAGGGAAATATCCTTCCTTATCATAGCTGCCCATATTGCTTCGTAAGAAATATGTACTTTATCCTTGAGGTGATGTGAAAGTCTATAAATTTTACTAAATTTTTTTTCTAGAAAGGAGCTGAGGCTAATTGGTCTATACGCCTTTGGGAGTTGTGCTGAGTTTTTTCCCACTTTGACTTCTCTCCATGTTGATGGTATGCGAGCAAGTAAGATACTTGCTCACAGTAACCTGATTACTGTCCCTGATTTTCTAGAAAATAAACGAAATATTGTGCCGCTGTTCAGTTCGTTTAACTACTTAATAATAGTCACTTATTTCGTATTTTTTTAGTCCAGTCCTTACTTTATCCTTATAAAGCAGTCATAATCTGAAAACTTAAAGGATATCCCTACACAGTGACTGCAAATAATCAGCAATAACTACGTTCAAAAAAAAAAAAAATATATATGAAAAGGAAAAACTTTAATTGGCTCTACGGAAAAACATGCAATTTGGAATTGTCTCATTATTGCAGAGGATCATCGATATGTAGTTATGTGTAATTGTATTTTTCAACTTACCGGTATACTCTGGGAAGCAGATTGTCAATGGACTTTTGCGAATCTTTTCCTCAAACAAATCCTTTTTATTTAAGAATAAAATAATGGAGGTGTCCGTGAACCATTTATTATTGCAAATGGAATCGAATAGCTTCAAAGATTCTTGCATTCGGTTCTGAAAGGAAAAAAAAATACCAAAAAGAGATTAACAGTTAGCCGCACTCAGAAACATTCGTTAAATTAGCTCCAACGGGTACTTAACTAATTATCTTTAAATCTGTAAATTGATGTTTCCTCTCAGACTTAAAAGATAAGGGCTCTATTGTTAATGAAAAATTTAAGTATGGACCCAGTTGCGACCCCTTTTTGTGGCATTACTCACTTTTTTCGTACAGTTTGATATCAAATATGAAAATAAGTATTTATAGCATTTTGCGCACACTGCCTCAACAGTCGCAATGGCTGAGTGAGCAGAGCACTGGCGTGGAGGGTTACGACGATACTACTCACAAGTACGATACTATCGATACTTTTTGTTTCTTTCCAAATATTTTTGGCATCGATGCTTTTTACGAAATACTAGAGTAAAAATATCGATACCCCAACATTTGCAGTAGCGGTTACTTTTATTAGTTTATATATATGTATGTTTCTTTTTGCCGTCTCTAATGCTGAAGTCGATAATAGTATACATATTTGTATGTGTACGCGGTATAACCACTCACATATTTATTTCAGAATAATTGTGGCCTGGCACTTGGCTATTCAGCATTTTGTTGTTGTCGTAACATCTGTGCTATGTGAGTGAGCTTTTTACGAAAGCGGGTACGGTGATGTCAAAGTCTCGCAATCCTTTGTCCACCAAGTTTATGCAAGCTGAATTTTTTTAAACACCATTCCAAAAAAAAAAATTTTTTTTGCTAAAGGATAATTTTTACATTTATCCGATTAAGAATGTTTTTATCGCAATCTTTTATTTACTTCTTGTTCTGTATTAATAACTATTCATGAAATAAAACACATACTGTTGGTTAAACTATATACTTGCGTTCATACAAATACTTATTGAGGTGTACTTTTACTTTATTCGAACTTAAATAATAAAACATAAAAGGATGTACATCCTTTAATACATTGTATTAAATTTTCCAAAAAGTAATCGATGAATCGATAGTACCGATGCTTTTTGTTGATAATGCGAGTAGAAGAATTGATGATTGATCAGAAAGGGAAAGGGTATCGTCCTAACTCTACTCGAGAGATCCGAGTTCGAGTCGTCGGGCAGGAAAATTTTCTTTTTTCTGTTTTATTTTACTTATTTTTTTCTTGTTAAATTTTTGGAAACTTTTTTTCTCTTTAATTTCTTCATTTTTAATATAACTTTCTTTTGATCAGTAGAATTTATTGTTTTAAAAAGGAAACTAATTCTTTTAAATTCATTCAATTTTTAGAAACTTTTTGCTAAAAGACAAACAAAACCACTAACAGGCCAATTCTAGCATCTGTCTTTCAACTCCCAACAGTCTACTAAACATTGAAAGAAACTAAAGAATATTTATTTTTTAAACCATGAACCTAAAAATTTGGGAAAATGAAACTATAAAAGAAATTAATTTATTAAAGAAGTTTCTAAACATTAAATGAAATAAAAAAATACTTATTTTTTAAACAATAAAATTTAAAAATTAAAATAAGAGAAATTTAATTGAAAAAAAAAGTTTCCGTTCTCGGATCTCTCGAATGGCACAATAGTGCTCTACTCACCGAGCATAAGAGAATAATTCTACGCAAAGATACTTCGTTCTGAGAAATGAGCGTATGTACATTAGGGTGGTGCTTAAATGTAGAAGGCACATTTTTGCATCAGACTTCCTAAACCTCAACCCCTACGTCGATATTACTATAGTCGAAGATATCACATATAAATTTTGGTCCCGATTGAAGTCGGTTAAGGCGTGTCGCATAGGTGTCAAAGTTCAGACTACCCTATGAAGACGTCTTATCCAATCGGGACCAAAATTTATAAGTGATATCTTCGACTATGGTAGTATCGATTTTGGGTATTAAATTAAAAAAGAATAATTTTAATATTTTGAGTCTCTATAGAGGAATCTGCCCCCTGTGCGACACACCTTAACCGACTTCAATTGGGACCAAAATTTATGTGTGATATCATAATATCTGTGACCCTGGTATTACCGATTAAGGGGGTGAGACTGAAAAAACCGTTCATTTGATTTTTAATGACCACGCTAATGTACATATATATGTATTTCCATGGAGAAAAACTTACGTCAATTGAATTTTCGCAGCAGGATTGACATATTTTACATTCAGTTGCATTGTGTCAATTTCTATTGCCGATTGTCGCCTTGCAAGCTCGAATACAAGCCAACAACTTTCAACGCATGTAGCACGCTTGGCTGAAATAGGAATTAAACTTACCGTAGTTTCATCCTCATGCAAGACTTGATCGTATTCAGACATGGCAACGCAGAAAATAATCGCAGTCACATCTTCAAAGCAATGTATCCATTTCTTTCGCTCCGACCGCTGACCACCAACATCGAATAGTCTATTAAAAAATTCAAAATTAGTAAATTAAATAAGCTTAAAGCGCATTTTATAGTTGGGTTCTTACTTGAAATTGAGATTTTTGAAGGAAAAGTGCACTTCAACAATACCGGTCGTCTTGACACGAGTGCGTAGAATGTCCTGTTCGGTTGGTTGATAATCCTTGGCGCCTAACCGATCCAAATCATCGAGGAAACTGTAAGTAGAGAAATAAATTTAAACGATTAATCAAATTAGTATCCAAAGTAATAAAATATCAGCAAGTTATTAGTACGGAGAAGTGGTTACTACGTTTCTGAGAAAAGAAAACTGTGTGTAATAGGAAAATCATAGAGCTTAGCTGCTTTAATTAAATAAGCTTACTAACTATACATAAGTTAAACACAGTAGAGCAAATTCTATTTTCCAATTAGCTAGTTACTACTGCAGTACTTATATACTTAGTTGCAGTGTGCTTATGGTCAATTCTGTGTGCGTGCACGCGCCATAATTAAGCCGCAACAGACCGACCACCAAACTTCATTAACAACTGGGGGAATGCAATTTATAGTATACATATTTTAAAGTGAGCGTAGTTTGAGTAGCGGAACTATCTGTATATATAACCAGAAGTAGCATAACTTTAGGTTAACAGCTTTAAAGTATTAGTATATGCTACTTTTGTATCTAGATTATTTTACTATAAGTTGCCAAAACAACTGTTGAAATATGGGTGGTAAAATGCTGTCAACGCGATCACTCGCGCTTCATGGAAGGGCGTGACTACTCTATAACTGAGCTGCAAAAGCTTAATTACCCAATACGCTTTTGGGTGTCTTAATCAACTAACATATATATAGTTGGAAATTAGTTCGTATTTCATAGTGCGCATTGCTTTAAATAAAAAAAGTACCATTGGTATGTGTTAACTTTGCCAAAACCAATTGAGCAACCTTCAAATCAATTAAGTTTAGAATTACTTATTTGCTCACTAGCATAGTAATGCTAATTTTTAAGCTTGTAAATATTCTGCTTCTTTGTAGGCAGCATTTACGTAACCAATTAACACTAGCTGCAATTAAAACAAGAAACCTGGAAAAGTTGGGTGTCACTATAAGGCACTACTTAGAAGCTTGTAATGTCTTGGAAAAATACGGCTTAAAACAATTATGCTAAATCTAAAAATAAAATCTTGCTAAGCCTAAAACAAAATGTTTCAATGAGCAACAACCGTTGTGGCAGTTGTGGCAGCTGAACATTTAACGAGTAAGGCTTTCGTTAACACTTATCAATCGATCAATTACATTTCTGCAGGTGCTCTCCTATAATACGAGTATTTATTATTAAAAAAATAATGATATCTATTGAAGCTCACTTGTAGAATCCATACATTTTGCATTGGAAAATGAAAAAAATAAATAAATAAAAAATTGTGAAAAATTTCTTAGGTCAAAATAAGTTATGGCTTTTATCTGAAATTTGTTTTCCACTAGCGAGTAAATCTTAAGTATTCTTCGATAGTTCACTTTGAAAACTGGGTAATTATTCAAGAATTTACCACCTGGTGAGCAAGAGAAAATTTTACTCAGATTTGTAAGAAACGACAGTTTTATAAAAAAAAAAAAATGACGAAATATGTACTGTACAACAGTTTAGGCCCATTTTTATTATGTATTACAGTCTACATTTCTATGTAAAAACCCTAGAGTCTAAATTTTGTTGCACTTGAAATATGCACATATGTATCTGCATTCGGGTGGTCCAAAAATGCATATGAGAAAGTAAATGGAAATTTTAATGCTCTCACCTCCTAGGATTGTTGTATACCGAAAAAAATCTACCTCAAAGTTTTTCATCTATCATATAAGTGGAAATCGTATAGAATTCTTGAAAATCAACATTATTCTCTCCGAAAACTATGTTCCTCTTCAGGAAACTTCCAATTGCATTTTTCGGGGTTTTAGGAGCCCTGTTAAAAATATTTAATATTAAAAAATGGTTTAATAAAAAACTGGTTATTAATACTGCAAGTCTCCTGGAGAGATGCAAAGTTTTTAGATCGAAAAACATTGATTTTCAAGAATTTTATACCATTTCTACGAAAAATTTTTTTCTTCCCATATAAAACACATGGAAAATTTTGAGCGACCACTAAGAATTTTTTGAATTCAAAACAAAAAAAGGCATATAAGTTTTTCGGTATATAACCAATTTTTCCGACATTATTTTATTTATTTTTTTACCACCCTAATATATATGTATGTATGTACCCATATGAATGTGCATAGTTTTTATTAAACTTTTTACAATAGCTATTTATTACACAAAACTTTGAGCAATCGCAGTGAGGCAATGCAAATATGGCTAAGTGGAGGAAAATATATAAAGTCAATTTGCACCCTTATGACAATTGTAGCATCACGCTGTAAAGCAAAGACTGAAACTAAAATCCGCTGAGCATTTCAAACCGCCAATGGCCCATTAGACCTGATGCAACGGAATGGAAAATGTTTTCAAATGTAATTATGCATTATGATGGTGGATAAGTGAATGTATGAATGTGAATGGACGAAATAAATTAAAATAACATTAAATTACTAAAACCACAAAAAGTAAAAAAAAAAAAAAAATATTGTGTCAAATGAAAAGTCTCCGCGGATTTGTCACTGTGTGGCGTTTTGGCCCATACTTCTGGCAACACCAAAGTGACGTTGTAAAGTGACATTTCAGGCTGCATTTTTAGTGAAGACAGTCCTTTAATTCTATTTACGTGCACAGAGTTATATTGATTTGAAATATGTGCTTGAAGAAAAACGTTATATGATGCTACATGCCGGAAAATTTGTGAAATGTACGGTGAAAATGGTGTGAGTGAACGCCGGACACAGGAGTGGTTTACTCAATTCCGCTGCGGAAATTTTGATGTCAAAGGTACACCCAGCTCTGGTCGGCCAGTCACAGGAAATAATGCAAATGATTAAGCAAGACCAGCATTGAAGCTACCAGGAGATAGTGGAGGCACTAAACATCAATCACATGGCAGTTTGGAATCAGCTAAAAAGAGCAGGTAACTCAAAGAAGCTCAGTGTTTGGGTGCTACATGAATTATTGAAAATAAAATAAATAATTTTACCGAATTACCATCAGTGAAACGCTGCTGAAACGCAACGAAATCGAACAACTTTGAATCGAATTAGTGATGAAAAAAGGATTGAATATTAACAGCTCCGACTGGTTTCCATTTATAGCGGTCTCTGCAAAACATTGATGATACAAAAAAAAAAAATGAAAATCACTTGACGAAGTTTTTCCCCGGTATATCTGCAATCTGACATTTGGCGTGTTCACAGTTCATTCCAAATTGCGTCTGAAAATATAGACGGCAACACTTTGAGACGTTTTTACCATCAAACTGTGAGCACTCCTTTCTCAGCAGTCGTGGCAAAACTTTACTTGTGTTGCCAGACTAAGAAATGTCTTTGCGTTTGCGTCCATTTGTTATATGTCGCCTTTAGATTTTGGTTCTGAAAAATTTTAATTGCTTAACTTAATTAGCAATTACTAATATTTGTTCTTTATTTACCTTGATTTGTTTGTTTTCATCAGCCGTTGCGGTCAAATCAAATGAAAATACGGAAAACATCCCCAATAAATTTAAAAAATTTGATAGGTGTAGACGCTTAAAAAACATACCTTTGAGTGTGCGAAAATGAAGTCGACATCGTTTTCTAATTTTGTATAGGAAACAACAACACCACAGATTTTACTGTTATAAAATGTCTCAAAATGTAGTCGTCTGCATTTATTTATATTTTCCTAAATATAAGTGGGACTTAAAGATAGTGTTATATATCTTGGTATATCCATGTACAGAAAACTCACTTTGGAGTGAAATCTCAGTTCGATTACTTATCAACACAGCAACGAAACCCCCGTTCATCACTAAACAACTCTTAGGTAAAGCATGGAGTCTAAAGCCCAAAAATGACCATTTGGGTATATACTCAGATGATCACACTCATAATGCGTACGGAGCACTCGTCTAGTGAGAAAATACTACTAAAAAAAAGCTATTAAAAAACTGTGCAAGATAGAATTACTTGCATTGGAAAGGTTTCATTCGAGACGATCGAAAGCAAATGCCCCGTGGCACTCTTTAATATGTTAAGTTGGATACGCTTAGGATGCCAGGTTGAAATCCTTCAGTAACAATGCCACCATAATACTAGTACCTCTGAACCAGACTGGCGATCAACCGAAAGCACATCAGAGCTTTTCTTCAAGTAACAAAACCCATGTACATACCTACTAAAAAATATTTAGGAATTCCCAATCTTTTTAGCGTGCCAATCCGAGACGCAACTCAAAAGGGGTGACAGAAATTTAGTATAGTGACGTTGTGAACAGGCGGATATTATAATCTGACATTTTATAGGCTTAGGGGCACGAATTTCGATACGATACGATACCATATCGATTCTTTTGCCATTTGATACCGATACTTTTTAGTCGAGAGTTTTAAAACCATATTTTTTGATATCGAGTACCAGACCCCTTGTGTCATATCGAATCTTAAATACATATTACAAAGTTGAACTGATTAATAATATATATTGTACACTATATTAAAAATAATTGTCTTTTACTAAATTCGTTTTGATTTGCTTAAAGTAAAGCACATATGAAAAAGGTTTTTCTATTTGCATAATAATTAAGTCGACCTTTATTCAGTAAAAAAATTGCGGATAGTACAGATTTAAGGATATATCTAAGCAAAGCGCATATGTAACGTTACAAAGAACAAAAGTGGGTTCTGACTTGGGTTAAAAAATGGCAAAACTTTGCGAATTGGGCAAGTCTATTTGTGTAACATTTTTTATAGTAACATTTGAAATATTTAAGGTTAATTTTCCAAATTCTTAAATGTAAACATTTTTCCTACTTTTTTTATCAGCCGAAGTATCTGGCGTGATAAAAAGCAGCCAAATTGGCCCATAAATTAGTTAGAAGGCTTTTATTTTTTCGCGGCTTTTATTTTTTTCTTCCACCGGAAGCGCCCATGTCAATATTTTCGGAATTTATATGTAAAGCAAAATGGATATATTTTGGGCTTTGAAGAAAAGAAATGTTTACAATCTTCGGTTAGCATGTGGCGGGATTATTATTAACCAATATCCAGATTTATTTTTTTGGAATTTGGTATCGAGTCTTTTAAAC